GTCTTTGCATATTGTCACATCACCACTTGGTGTAGGATGGCCCAGGGCTGCAGGGAAAGGTAGGGTTTACTTACCTTAAGCTGTCCCTCACGGCCCCCATCATCTTCTTCTGCGCGCATGTGTGAGAGTACAACACATATGTCTATGGAGGATCCTGTAAGACAGCGGGAGACTCCATAATATTTCCCCCAAAAGCCATCACTAGCGATGGCAGGGGAATTGACAACACTTGATGGCAGTAGCTTCAGCTTTTATCATGTTTTGTCAAGCGACAGAAAAATACATCAGACAATGTGGTCCCTACTTTGTCTTGTGTCTTTAGATTGTGAGCTTGTTTGGGCAGGGCCATCTTCACCTACTGTTCCTCCTGAAATGTTTGTCTTGCTTCCTATTGTTCAACGCTGCGGAATATGTTGGCTCTATATAAATAATTGCAGTTGTACAATGTGAGTATTTCATAAAGATTTTACTTTTTTTTAAAAATTTTATTATTCTTTATTTTTGTAGTGCATAAGCTAGTAACAAAACAGTTGTGAGGTACCCCAAAGGCATTCCTCCAACGCATTATTGACAGGTGAACATTACGTGTGAAATTGAGCACAAATTTTATATTTAAGGGTAGTTTGATCAGTGAACAGCAAAGGATCTTATCACTAGATCTGTCTCATAATTGAAGATAACATCGCTGGGTTATGTAGACATGCTAGGTTTATGCTTTGCAAGGGTTAACTATATATTGTGAGGTGTACCACTGGGGTCTAGTTAGGGCGAGAGCCACTTTACGTTAAAATGCTGGTGGTGTCAGGGGGGCCTTTTCATCACTGGGTGTGTAACGATTAATAACATCTTTGTAGTGAGCTGTCGTTAGAGTTAGGGGTGTTCCAGGCTGAGTGTTAAAGAAAGGTAAAAGTCAGTTTTAACCCCTTCAGTCCCGTGTTAACTTGACAGCATTACAACTGTGCATAACCACTATTTAAGCGTGGAAACATATAAAACGTCACCCGGCCATGTAAAGCGTGGCTCTCTTGAGGTTGTGCGGTGGATGCTTCAGCCTGTGCCCAGTATTGGGAAGGCCTGGTCGTTGCTACTGAGGATGTCTCTATTAAAGCCCCTGGATGCATTGCCACTGCATTGGGGCATCTGCTCCGGTAGTGCCCTGAGGGGTGCGCAACCGCCCGGTCTCTGCTTTTGCATTGTTGGTGGTAGGGAGCTGGATCACGTTGTGCCAGAGTCTGAAGGTCCGGTCCGGTGAGGTTCTTATCTGTGTCGCTTTTGTGGTGTTCCTGCTTTTTTGCAGCCGCAAGAGGGAGCCTGCGCCTCATAGACATGGCGCCCACAACCGCCTCAAGGACCTCTGGAATCTGTGCTGCCTGACGGCTGCTTTGGAGGCCCGTGGTATCTGCCTGTAGTTGCCGCGTTGTGTTGCTGATCGGATCCACGAGGCCACCTTTATTTCCGCTTATAGGTAAGTTGCTCCTCGGCTGTGCAGCGCGTCTTTCGCAGAGCCGGTCAAAAGTCCATTGAGGTGGCGTGGAAGGCTTGTTTTGGGCACTCCGTTCTTGGGGTCTGTGCTGGGCGGCCATTTTGGCTGTGCTTTGTAGGCCCGTTGCCCCTGTGTGCCGTGTAGCCATTTCGTCCACTGTCCGTTCCGGTCGATTCGTTCAGTGGGGACTGGGATATCCCCCACCAGTCCAGGGGGGAGGGGAGGATTGTCTGTAGGTAAGTCGCTTGAGGGCGGTGGCGCCAAGGAGAGCAGCCGCCTCCCCCCAGCGCCTGTCCCAGTAGGCCGCATTTGAAGCCTCGTGCTCCCGGCCCCGACAGGCCTTGGGGTGGTATTGGTTGTTTCAGCGGTGCACCCCCGACGTAGGTGGTACACCCAGAAAGGTCTTTTTTGCCCCATTTTTAGCCTGCTCGGCGGGAGCTCGTAGCAGACACGTCTGCACGGCTCGGTGTCCAGGCTCCGCCCCATTTAACTTTTTTAGTCATAACTGAGATGCCAATAATACACAGTGTGGTGTGTTCTGATTAATTGGCGCATTCGTTCTAATGGGTTGCTGGGGAAGTCCTCGAACGCCCCCCCTTGGCATTCGTCTAACAAAATAGCGGCCATTAATTGTTTCCCTTGCGGTTTGTGATTTGTTGCGAGGTGACAAAATTGTAACCTAACATTCTAAATGGGATATCTGGGTGGTCCCCATTCGGGAGGGGAATGAATTCCATTCGTGGAAGCACTCCCGAACAGGGAGCGGGCACAATACACGAAAACATAGGAAAATACACATAATATAAAAAAGGAATCCACGAACAGGCAGGGGTTCTGCCACAGAGAGTAACTCCCACTAATCTCAGGCAGACCAGGGCATGAATGTTGAAGAGAAAGGACAATGACCCGGAGATGTTGCTGAGAATTTAAACAAGTAATCAATTTCTATGTATAGACTTATATGTCAGTATTTTGGGATATTAATAATAATAACAATCTTAGATTTTACCCATTGGATTGCAATGAGCCTTCGTATTGCCGTCAATATGTTACAGCATACAGGGGTGTAGTTAGACTTCTAAACTGTCTGTTATTTCCCAAATACATGTATCTATTTGTTTAAAGTTGCATTTCTTCTCATAGTGTCATGGGTTAACAATCTGGCATTAAGTCCAATAAGTAAGGAGGCAGGACGAAAATCCAAGGTTAAACTTCTCCAGTCACCACTACAGTTAAAGGGAAACTATACTGCCAGGAAAACACACTTGTTTTCCTGGCACTATAGCTGTCCTCCCCCACTCCCTGTGGTGCAGAAGGGGTAATAACCCCTTCTGTCACTTACCTGGGTCCAGCGCCGATGTCTCTCGGCGCTGGCCCAGCTCCTCCTACGGTCCTCCCCAGCCGACGTCCGCTGGTGGTCAGAGATCTAATGCGCATGCATCTAATGCGCATGCGCAGCAAAGGCCACACTCACATTAGCGACTTTTCTTCTAAAAGTATAATTCTAATGCTTTTTATGGGAATTCCGGTGACGCTGGAAGTCCTCATGCATAGCATGAGGACGTCCAGCGACGTTTAGGCGACCAAAAGTTGCCTATCTACCCGGGAGTCACTTTAGTGGCTGTCTGGTAAACAGCCACTAGGGGAGGAGTTAACCCTAGCAGGTAATTATTGCAGTTTATACAATCTGCAATAATTACCAATCCAGGGTTAAGGGTGATGGGAGTTTGCACCCAGACCACTTCAATGAGCTAAAGTGGTCTGGGTGCCTACAGTGTCCCTTTAATTTTTGCGTTTCAAATAAAACTTTCTACAGGACGCTCCCAGCTCCTAACTCCGTACCATTAGTGGCACTTACTATGAAAAAAGTGGGTAACTTGTTATCATGCAAAACTACAGCTACCATTCCCCAATTTAACTGATCTCCACATAATTTTAATCTTTCACACACTGAAGCATTATAAGAAAAAAAATGTAATTAAATTAACCTAACATTATTCTAGAGTAAAAATAGAAAATAATGAGAACAACAAAAGTTCTGAAAAATATTAAAAAGAGAATCCGTGTGATTCTATGTATTTCCTGTGTGAACATTGACTAAGTTCTGGATATTTTGATGAACTGTTAATGTCACATCGTACTTTGTCCTTATTAGAGAAATGGGTGGGTAGCCCCACATGTCTGTATTTACACAGAATTTATCAGTAGCTCTCTCACCTCTCTGTGTTATCAGTATGGGAGGTCTCTGTCTGGGCGATAACACTTCCAGAAGGAAGGCCATAGAGAGCTTAGATTGGAGGAACATTGTGTTAATCCCAGGATTCCAGAGGAACATTGCTAAATACCAAGTAGGTAGTGTGATAGTAATATAAACACTGCCGACATTCTCAGATATCACTGGGGAACTGCTGCAAGACTTCATTTAGAACGGCACCTTTAAAATGTATAGTATCGAACCCATGCCACCTAATACTGGTGCCAATAATGGAGATATTAGGGCCACCACATGATCGTCCAAAATCCATGGATCTTAGGAATTAAACGAGGTCTAATGCGATATTTATCTCTTTCCTATTTGAAAGTAAAAAAAATTGTGTGATTAAAGTTAATTTTACAGAGGAGGAGATAAAAAACTTTTGAAGTAAGTAAAGTGTTAGAAAATTAAACCATTTTGATTTAATGCAATCACAGCCAGGGGAGGTGTGGCTAGGGCTGCATGTACAGAAACTAAAAGTAATTTAACTCCTAAATGGCAGAGAATTGAGCAGTGAGACTGCAGGGACATGATCTATACACCATAACTGCTTCATTAAGTGAAAGTTGTTTTGGTGACTAGAGTGTCCCTTTAATTGAAATAAAGTTCTAATGGTGCCAGGAGGTCCCTGGTTCATAAGTGGTTTAACCCCAGAGTCTCCTTGCCAGCTCTGTTTCGCTCTGCCCCCTCCACATCAGCTTTCTGAAAATGTAAGTCTCACCAATTACTAACTCCCCATTCACAAAAAAACGTGCGAAACCTACGTACTCAACAATATTCTGGGAAAAATAGAAAATAATGGTAACAAAAAGTTCCAAAAAATAGTACAAAATGGATCCTTGTAATTTTACGTATTTCCACTTGGTTAAGTTCTGGATATTTTTACCACCCAATCACATGGCTAAATAAAATGAAGTCGTTATTAAGTTGTTATGGTGCCAGAGATAGAGATGCAAGGCACTTGCTTAAATTTAAGGGTTAAACCATTGATGAACACTTTAACCACAAAGTCTCCTCACCAGCGCATTTCGCTCTACCTCCTTCACAATTGCTTTCTGAAAATCTTCAAAACGCAAGCCTTGCACTGCCGAGGGGAAGGGGCGCTGCTGGGATTAGAGCCGCCAGGTGATGCTCTAAGCCAATCAGTAGCTCCCCTTTCACAATACAGAGTGAGACACGTAACTATGTTTGTTGTTAATGTGGAGCTGCTAATTGGTGATGCTTCCATGTTGAAGGTTTTTAGTTAACAGATATTGGAGGAGGCCGAGTAAAAAAGAGCTGGCAAGGAGTCTATAGGTTTAAACTGCTCATGAATGGTTTAACCCCTACAGGTAAGTCAGCACCAGGGACCTACTGGCACCATAACAACTTCATTTAAATGAAGTTGTTATGGTGCCCAGAGTGTTCTTTAAGGAAGATGAATGTGTTAAATGTCCCGTTCTCCTTCCTATAACTTTCATCACTCTCAGCCCAGCTAAACCATTCCGAGTCCACATTTCAACCCAACCCTTCACCCCCCCCCCGTGTCCCCAGAGCATTGTGTTATAAAGTACCACATTTGAATAAAAGTATTTTGTTTATCCGACGCACACAGGAGAGGTGTACGGTTTATCAAGTATTGCTTTATTTTTTATTATAAGCTAATTTAGTGACATATGACTATAGAGTTGATCTAATTTACAACAATGTACAAGAATGCCATAAATGGTTTATTTTATGTAAAATATTGCAATGCAGTACGACGAGAAATGACAGAGCTTCTCATAATAAAATTACATACAAAATAATTCAGACCCCTAAATAATCCTCTCAGATCACTGAAAAATGAATTGAATTGGCGCTCGCTGTCAGATTTTAATACAGTGAGAATTAAGATCAACTATTTTAACATGACAATGATTTTATATTGAAATTTTCTTTAAAGAGAAATAAAATACTGAAATAGGTTTCGTTTGGTGTTATTTCAGGACCAATTTAGGTATTTATAGCTTCACTGGTTTGCACTTGGTTTGTACTTTGGTGCATTGGAATTAGCATGGGAGAGTTTATACTGACTTGCACAATACTAATTATCCTTATCTTTATCACTGTGGGAGGGTGGGGAGTACACGGAAAAGACTCAGGACCACATGGAGAGCTTGCTAAATAATGGATAGTGTCAGAGGGTAATACATCAGAAATAAAATATGGGATAATTATGATTTTTTTTATTTTGGCCACTACTGTCTACAGTTATAAGGTTGACATGTTGAGCTAGAATTGCCTGAGATATCCAGAGTCATTGAGTTGTCTGGCCATTCCATGTCGTGTCATGAACGGTGTAGGATACTATTTTGGAGACCTGTTGATGGGTGATGAGCAGATCGTTTATTCTGATGTTTTGGACTGAAAACAAGAGTTGAATGTGTAGTTATGTCATGGGAGGTGTATTATTCACCAGTCCGTATGTTAGGATGGAAGTGAAGTGTTTACAGTTGATGTGGGATCATGGTTTTATTAGTGTTGAAGCCACATGTGTCCAGCTATGGTGTAACTGTAAGCCATAACAAAAGCACACCCTCACTTTGTTTTACACGTTAATATTTGTGGAAACCACATTGCAATCCAACTTAAAACGAATCTTCCAGTTGGCAAGTCATTTGGGATTTATCTATCTGATAGACAAAACAAAAACGAAAAAAAAAGCATTTTATTTAAAATCAATATCCTTCATGCAGAATGTCATGTATAAGAGCTTCCTTTAGAATTGCACAACTTTATTAAGCAAAGTATTTTTCTCTTGCAGATAAGCAGAATTCTCTCGCCGTGGAAGGTGAGGGGAAAACCGTTGTCCTGAAAGCAGTTGCTTCGATCCAGAGGAGAAGCCAGTGACAATCACTAGCCAGTCAGCCCCCTAAATTACAGGCCACAATTACCACCATAATAAGATATTAGAACAGTACATACACAGCGGTGCAGGCAATCTGGTTCCACCCCAACCATGGGTTATATATTTAGGAAAATATAAAAATGAATTTCAGCATTTCCTTTTGAATAAAGGGACATTACTTTCACAAGAAAGTGCTGGAATGTATTCGTACACAACCTCCACCATGACTGGGCTCTTTGATAAATCCAAATATGTCCCATGTCCCTAGCAGGAGAGAACCCCTCAAAATGTCTGTTATCATGCAATGAGTAGACACTGCGGTGTCTGTATACATACAATAAATAACCAGCACTGCTGCCATATTAGCATGAGAAAACAAATCATCAGTTCCCCTGGGCGTGGAGCAACATGGCCCCAGTAAAGCAAAACACAATGCAAACAAGGCTCATGGGGTGTTTAAAGGGCCCGTTAGTGTAGTCCTTGGTTTTTTGAAGAGCCGCAGGATAGCATTCAGGCAGAAGCTTTTTATAAATGTAAATTTACACATTGAACCACTCATTTATAATGAAAATAAGACGTGCATGTGGATGCCATGTATATTGTTATCCGTTTGGTTTGTTATGTCTGTTTTGGGATAACACCATGTCATGTGGGATGCCAACAATCTCACAAAGGGTAATAGGAGACCCTGCTATATGGCAACCTTGATGGGAGGTGGCAACTATCAGGGTTCTTAATTCAATATAAGTAATGCAAACTATATAAAAATAAGATTATTGGGGCGGAGCCTGGCAGCCAAGCAGCCCAGACGTGCTCAGCATGTGCTCCCGCGTCTGACGACCAAAATCGGGGTGTCTTACCTAGCAATTTGCACTCACGGAGCGCAGCTTCCACTGATTCTACTTGGGAGAGGTCGTTGTACCCAGCGGTAGCTTTCCCGGGCTCGAACAATGCCAGACTGACCCACTTGCAGCCTACACGAGGCTGAGCCACGGGGAGATGGCCACTCTCTTGGATCTTAAGCTGAAGCTGGGACCCCAGGGAATCACTTCTCCCCCACCGATCAGCCCCACTCACCTGGCTGGACGCAGGCAGCTAATTCTGCAGGATATAGAGCTCCGAGCACGAATGGCAGCAGCAACAACTGGGAGACAGAGCAGTGGACGGAGGCAGGCAGGAGATGGAGTATGTAGGCCCCCGTCGGGCGCAACCTCGCACCAAGCATCTAATCCTCACACACTAAGCCCACTTGGGCTGAGAGCAAACAGGGACTTTCTCCCACTGCATCTACCACAGCGTCAGAAGCACATACACCGCAAGCAGTGACCGACCACCCAGAGTTTCCTCCCAAAGAGGAAGGACTCGGACTCGATTGTGAGACCCCCAGTCCGTGGCACTATGATGCAGGCCCTTACAAGGCCTGGGGATGGAGAAGGGCCACGTCCATGCCTTGGTATAGGCTGACACTGGACTCTCTATCAAGGGCTAGCTTCACAGAGTGCAGCACTTACCCATATGCCCTGAGCACCTATTTTCCAAGTCTGGGTATTGGTTGAAACTTGTCAAACTCCCATGGAGCAACTTGTCAAACTCCCATGCTCCCCTGATACCTGCTAATGTTTTTACTCCATGTTATGCCCTTATCCCTAGCTTGATTTATTTCTTTATTACTACAGTGAAGTACTGTTAATTCTGTACCTTAGACCTGAGCAGCACAGTTGTATTCTAGAGAGCTCAGGATCCGTGGCCACACTCCAATAAATATGCCCTAATATGCAATGTTCCTGTTCAGAGTCAGCCACCATGCCTAGCTACCTTACCTTGTTCGCAATAATTGTGTATGCTATTAGCTTTGACATGTTGGACCAGCCTGTGTTACATTTTCATGTCTCTAACTTAAAATGCAGTCTTGACAGCGTGTCGGGCTTCGGTGGCATAACTGCTATGCTTAAAGGACCCCTATAGGCACCCAGACCACTTCAGCTCAATGAAGTGGTCTGGGTGCCAGGTCCATCTAGGGTTAACCCTGCCTGCTGTAAACATAACCATTTCAGAGAAACGGCTATGTTTACAATAGGGTTAATCCAGCCTCTAGTGGCTGTCTCATTGACAGCCGCTAGAGGCGCTTCCGCGATTCTCACTGTGATTTTCACAGTGAGAAGACGCTTCCGTCCATAGGAAAGCATTAAGAAATGCTTTCCTATGGACTGATTGAATGCGCATACATGCGCATTCGGATGATGACGTCGGAAGAGGGAGGAGAGTCCCCAGTGCTGAGGGAGCCCAGCTCTGGAGAAAGGTAAGAGTTTAACCCCTTCCTCCCTCTTCAGCCCGGCGCGAGTGGGACCCTGAGGGTGGAGGGACCCAAAGACCCTATAGAGCCAGGAAAAAGAGTTTGGTTTCCTGGCACCATAGTGGTCCTTTAACCATATTCTTAATCTACCTAGCACGTAATGCAATCGTTTATTCTCATTTACACTATTTATATAGTCAGCCAGTATTGCCTGATCCTTATAATCTGTTATTTCATCTCTCCACTGACTATTTCTCCTGCTATGATAATAGAAAAAAGGTGCAGTTTATCTGAATGCTATGTCAATGATTATAATGTCTGTTTTCACTATGCTTGTGATTGCTGTTGTGGCTTCGCAAGCTTTCTGGTATTCCATGCACAACAAAAATAAAGATTGGCAAAAAAATTCAAGAAGATAATTATGAAATTCATTCAGAAGGAACTTCTGCTACGCCAACGCCTCAGGGCTCTGCTTGGGTTCTGTCCAGTATAGAAGGACAAATGTCCCCCGTGGAATTTGCTGTCAATGTAAAGGTTTATGATAATTGATGTATGGGGCATAAAGTCCACGTAATGCAGTATGCAACGTGGCACAACTCGAGATGGATATAGGTAGAGGAACATAAAATACTTAAGATCCATAGCGTGTTCTTTAGACCAGAAAAAGGAGCATGGTGGACAACGTACCTGTGTTCTACTACAGTCTGCAAATTCTGAGTATAAGGACATTTCTATCATTTATCTCCTGTAACTAATGAGGAATAGGAGATAATTAGTGTTAATATTAAGAGTAATTGTCACCCGCAATTGTGAACCCAAGCAATTGTGACCATATCATGAGGCCAGAAGGGAAAACCTAAACATGCTGAGGATTTGGCAGTCAGTATGAGCATCCATATTGGTCCACATAGTAGGCTTATTGTACTCTAACGCTAGGAGGACAAGCCAACATTTCACCTTAGCCATCTGCCCTCCAATACTGCCTCCCCTAACAATGTGTACAAACATATTGCCAGCAGCCACATCAATATTATTTGTCATTTTAACCATTTACAAAAAAAAGCTCAATGAAGAGTGTACAGTGTGTAAGAAACATATTAATATACATGCAGGCAGATCAGGTCAGGTTTAGTTACCAATAGAGTTGAGCAGACACCTGGATGTTCGGGTCCAGCGGGTTCAGCCCCCGAATCTGACCCTGAACCCAAACCCCATTGAAGTCAATGGGGGCCCGAACTTTTGGGTACAAAAATGCCTCTAAAATAGACCTGGAAAGGGCTAGAGGGCTGCAAAAGGAAGTAAAATGGGGGTAAGAGTAGGATAAGTGCCCTGCAAACAAATGTGGATAGGGAAATCACTTAAAATAACATAAAATACATAAAATAAGCAGCCGCATAGTAGATAACTCCATAATCCCCACGGTATTAGGGAGCTATCTACCAAAAGGCTGAAAGACCTAAATTGTTCTTTCAGCCAAATTTACTAATACTAAGTAAAGATTACTTAGTATTAGTAAATTCAGCCCCAACTTGCTATACCGCGAGTAGGGGCGTGTCTAGTAAACAGTGAGCAGCCAGTGGCGTCATATGATATGACGTCATATTCCTGCTCCGGCATCAGTACGCGGCGCAGAGAGTGCTCCCCCGCGCGCCCGCTAGCCAGCCAGCCAGCTGCCTGGTGACCGGCCGCCCAGTAACACCACTGGACCCCAGGGAATCCCCTCAGCACTCCCAAAAGGTAGGGAGGCTAGGGGATTAACTTTAAAAAAAAAAAGTGTGTGTGTGTGTGTTAGAGTGTGTGTGTGTGTGTGTGTTAGAGTGTGTGTGTGTTAGTGTGTGTGTGTGTGTTAGAATGTATGTGTTAGTGTTAGTGTGTGTGTGTTATTGTGTGTTAGAGTGTGTGTGTGTGTTAGAGTGTGAGTGTGTGTTAGTGTGTGTGTTAGAGTGTGTGTGTGTGTGTTAGAGTGTGTGTGTTAGTGTTAGAGTGTGTGTTAGTGCATTAGAGTGTGTGTGTGCTAGAGTGTGTGTGTTAGTGTTAGAGTGGGTGTTAGTGTTAGAGTGTGTGTGTGACGCTGTTATGAAATTGTAGATTATGCTAGCTTTAGTGTACATATAATCTTAACTTTATTAAGGACAGGAGGCCAATATTTTGCTTAAATTTCTTTACTAAAACTAGTCCGACATGTGCTGCTATGGAGTTAGTAAAGAAAGTTAAGCAAAATATTTGTCTCCTGTCATGTAATAAAATTCATTCTATCTCACCACAAACCGTCTTTAGACACAATTATACAAATCAAGAAATTAAAAGAAACATTAATGAGTCATAAATACATGTATCTTATACAGAAACACATCTAGGGTGTGTGATGTCCAGAGGAGATTTATACATTGACATCTCCCTGAAATTTCAAAATGTAAATGGATACAGTAAACACTTAGCCACGGCAGCTTAGTGTATTATTACAGTTTATTGTTTTATTACAGCTTATTGTGTTATTACAGCTTATTGCATTATTACAGCTTATTGTGTTATTTCAGCTTATTGTATTATCACATCTTTCTATATCATTGTAGCCTGTTGTATCATTAGAGTTTATTGCATTATTGACGTTTGTTGTACCGTTAGAGTTTATTATATCTTTACAGCGTATCTTATTATCGCAGCTCATTGTATGATTGCAGTTATTGTGGTGATTATGTTTTAGCAGTCTATGGATAAGGTCAAAAAGTGGTTTGAAAAAATGGAAGTTTCACTGTCATCCAAAGACCACACCCTCTGATATGGATAACATACTTAGGAAATGTCACTTCCTCAAAATCTGTCCCAAAAGAATTGTATATGTTATAACATGATTCTAATGCACAGATTTTCTGCCACATTTCCAGCTGTCGGAATCACTGTTACCCTTTTTTATTGCTGTGTTGATACAGAGTCTCTTTGTATGTAGTGTCAGCATAGCTGGTCCCAGACATTGCGCTGCCTGGGTCCAAGATTCAAATCAGACACAATTACTGACATACACAGAATGACACAGACACACACACTCCCACACTGACAGACACACACACACTGAGAGGCATACACAACCACTCAGACACACACATTCACTGACAGACACACACACTCACTCACAGACACACTCTCTCACAGACACACTCACTCAGACACATACTGACAGACACACACACTCACTCACCGACACACAGGCTCCCTCAAAGACACACACTTACATACATACACACTCACTGACACACTCTGACAGAAATACACAATCACTCACAGACACACAGAAACACACACACACACTCTCTCTCACAGACAGGGAGACAGACTCTCTTCCCCCTACCATCCATGTCTCTCTTTCCCTTCTATCCATGTCTCTCTCCCCCTACCATCCATATCTCTTCCCTCCTCCATACACATCCCCCCTCATTCCCAAGTGACAGTCAGCTGCCGCCATCACAGGGCCGTCACTGAGTGTCATTGTGTGTGAATGTAGTTGTATTGTGCGCACTATGTATGACTTTGTATGTCTCCTACATTTTCTCTGACTCTTGTTTCTATGTTACATCTTACTAGGTATATCTCCCTTACTTGTCTGTACTTCCTTTTCCATTTAGCCCTAATTCCCCCTTTCTTCTTATGTGTCCCTCCCGTGGATCCTGTGGATCTTTTCACCTTCCACTGCCCCCTATTGTGTCTCTCCACCCCCATACCAGGATGTGTTTTCTGATATCCTCACCGCATGCAACGCTACACTCCCAGATAACTCTTCAAATGAATCCAATAAAATATTACCTCTCAACTCGCAGAAAGAAAAACAAGAAAATACATATATTTATATGTTTACTCGCTAAACCCTGAGATTAAAGGGTTACTCCCAACACCATGAACACTTCAGTGATTTGAAGTGGTCATGGTGCCTGGAGTCTGTATGTGCAGTGTTCCCCTATGAAATGCACTAAAAAAGGTTAGTGAATGGATGACGTTAATCTTGCTTCAAGGAGACCTGGCACCCAGTGGGCTGTAGTTGTGGTCATGCTTGGAGTAACCTTTTAAGAAAACTAAATACAACCCCCATTATACAGGACCATGCAGAGAGCACTGCTGAAACGCTTTCTGCAGGATTCTAGTGCCTGCCACAAAGCGCAAGTTCGGTGAACAGTTCCCTCTTGTCCCAAAATGCGGGACTGGACCCTAAAATAGGGACTGTCCTGTCTAAAGTGGGACCATTGGGAGGGCTGTGTTTGCATATTGCAGTCAATGGAACAGCAAGGATTTCTATGGATTGTCTAATGTGAATAAGACTTTTGTCCCTTTTATAAAGGTAACCTTTCATTGCGCTCCATTGTACAGCGCTGCAGTTATGTTAAAGGCTTTATAAGTAATTGTAACATTGTTAACTATAGCATCCATACTGCCATCCCATCACCTTTATAAACTGTGGACACCACCTGCTCTTTGAAGTCCCCTTGTACAAAAAGGAACCCAGAATGGGACACTTGAGTGACAAAGCTCCAACAGCTTGAGATGCTAAAGATGGCTCTGAGATGCTAAAATGAGATGCTAAAGATGGCTCTGCAAGGCCTGGGGATATGTTTCTGTTAAAGGAGCTTGTTAAGGAACAAGAACTAATTGGCTTTCTAATTAGCTGCCTTGGAATGCAGGAGGGACAGGAAAAATTCAGTTATGTGTGGTCTTAACCCCTTGAGTTCCACCTGGCTATAAATGCAATACATCAAACACCCAATGGCCGGCATTCGTACGGTTAACCTCCTTCTTGTACTTCCAGTTAGCCTAGCCCAATTCGAACCTGTTAAACATTTAACTACATTACAATAAGCTAAGATCTCACTGTGTCTGAAAGCAATTCATTTACATTCTTTAATTGTCTCCGGGGTAAACAGAAGGTGGGTTCAGATTAGAAGATTGTGCCGATCTATTTAGGGGGAAACAACAAAGTTGCATTTAAAAGCAAATTAGATTAAATAATGCATATTGTAAATACTACGACACCCAGTGAACCTGTTTTTCTCTAAAATAATGATAGCAATGTCTGCTTAAAGCTACAGCACAGACACATTATGTCATAATGATGCCATAATAATGTTACAACATTCTTCCGAGGAATAGACAGAAGCCATACTATACCTGCCAAGGAAAAGGCACCACGAGGTGGATTTGACATATATAATGAATACATATTATATCACTACATACCTCCCAACATTTCAGAACGACACTATAACGTGAGGCGCATGAGTGGGGAGGTGGCAAGGGAAAGGGTTGACTAAGGGGCTTAGGTGACTTACTAATAACAATTTATAGAACTAAAATGTCATTTAGAACAAGAACAATGTATCTTATTTACACAGACTGATTTCTAAACACATTTATTGTAGTTTAAATTGAACCTATCGAAAATAACAATCGTTATTTCAGGACCATACGATCAGGGATCACTGTTTACACACTTTGCTCTGTAAAATTAGGTAAAATAAACATTTATTACCTTGTTTCCCGTGCAAAGTGCTCCCATGTCATGTCAGTGCAACCATTCCAACTGACATCACCCCCGAGCTGCGATTTCCTCCAATCCATTATTTCAAATAGAGAAGCAATGGATTGAAACTAGGCACACTATCAGCAGCGAGAACACGTTCTGGATGACCTAAAGGGAGAGAGAACACGTTCTGGATGACCTAAATGGAGAGAGAACACGTTCTGGATTAATACTATCAGCAGCGTTTGATTCCAGGATCAACCAGTCCTGGAGGAGGAAGCGCCCCTAGTGGCTGTCAGAAAGATTGTCATCAATGGTGTATTTAATCAGGCAGTTTATGCAAAGCAGTTTCTAAAAACCAGGACCACTACACCTAGACCACTTCATTGAGATGAAGTGACTTTAGTGGCCATATTAAAGACACATTAATAGGAGTATTATTTCTGTGGAGCTCTGTTATACACTCAGACACACCAACAACATGGAGCTCCTAGAAAAGAAGGACATTAGGATAGAAAAGAGCGACAGTGGGATTTAGGCCCAATATAGGGACTGTTCCTCCAAAACAAGAACACTTGGGAGATCTGGATATAATGAACTCTACAATTTATTATAAAATCTCAAACTGCATGTGAGATTTGCTGATTTTGAAGCAGGAAACTGGATTGGAGGGAATCATTGGGCGAAAATCCCTGGATCTAGAAAATGTAATAGATGTGAATTGTTATGTTGGTGAAAATCTGGTGATTTTCAATTAATATTACTTATCCAGTTTATCGTCATACTTTATTGAATAACACTGACACTTTGAATAGCCAAACTGGAAACTGCAAACAGGCCTCCCAACATTCATGCTTTCCATGGACAGGGCTCCCTGCGTGGTCCTGAAGGCTGGGGGCTAGTCTGGCAGGGGTAGAAAAGCGGCTCCATCCATTATTAGTGTCCCCTCAAGTCTCTGCCCACCATGGGAGGTAGACTCCAAATCTATTATGCATTTCAGATCGGCTACTCTGGTGTTAAATTTTAAATTCTCGTTAAGGTCACTTTGAATTCTAACTTTTGTCAGCATCCCTGTTAGTAAATAACTCTGCACCGGAATTCAAAGTGAATTCAAAATTTTAGATAAAAAAAGCTGAACTGAAAACAGAAATGTTTGTAATCAGTTCTTTTTTTGGCATAGATTGTGGAATTCTCACTTTAGCGAATAAACCCTGTTTGAAATCCCAACAAATCTTACTTCAATGAATAACACTGAAAGTGAATTCAAAGTCAAATTTCAGGTCACAGTAGCCATGTTGATTTTTTTTTCGGTTGAGCTATTTGGCCTTCAGGGGACACTATAAGCACCCAGACCACTTCTGCAGTGCGGTACAAATTGGGACAATCGAGTAATTGGTTCGGTGTGCAGGAAGTGAGGGTGATGAGCATCTGTTTGAAGAGTCTGCTGGAAGAGGGTATGATTGTACAATTCGTCCTGTTCTTGGATGCCCTTTCTGACCCGCAGCTTGTTATTACAATGGGTTCTCAGCTTCTGCCTGCTGTATGGCACAGTGCGACCCCTGGGTAACCGTGCCATGTGGTGATACACCACAAATCCTGCTTTGGTCTATAAAGGGAGTAGAGACTTTTACATGTCATAGTCTGTCCTCTCGCCTGCCCTAGACACGTCCTATTAACGTATGCTGGTCTTTAACACATGGAATGCCTGATGGACAAATTAATATACTCCCAACCAGCATTCTTCATCTCCATAAACTGTGCTGTGTCATCTTTTCAGAAAGTTATGAATGGAGGGCACATAGGAGGCCACATAGAAAGTGTAACATCTAGTTTAAATAAAGTGAATGAAAGGGGAGAGCAGCTATTCATAGAGACACGGATTTTGGGCAGATGCCAAATTATATATGCTATCTAAACCTATTGTAAATGGGAAGTCTACAACGTGCTCTGCTGACTTATTAGATACGATTGCCAGCTGTCCCCAGACACTCCAAGAACCAGGCTTTCTTCTTAACAAGAAAAGGAACATAAAAAACACGCTAAATAAGAAAGAACACCCAGTTATCTAAAACTGCTTCAAACGTAGAATTAGAATATATCCTGGGTCAGACTGTAACCTGTGTTTAAACACTCCAAATTACCAGGGAAGTAGAACAGGCAGATATGGAACATAAATCAAGATTTACAGATTTTATGTTTTTCCTTTAAGAACTCACTTCCTGGCCCCTTTTTACGAGTGTGATTCAGTGGATGAATTGCCGTAAAATTTGATCCAAACTGTAAAATTTGGGCAAAAAGAACCAAGTAGTGGCTGTACCTGAGTATTTCTAAATCGGCTATTTTTACCATTCAGGTTTCAATCTGTTACTGTTCAGAGTTTAGGAAATAAACGGCTTGCTGTGTGTACTCCGTTGGAAGCTCTGGAAATGCAAGAAAACCATTTTAAAAGGGTCAAAATAGTGTCTTTCTGTATCATTTTCTTTTTATCAAAAATATATTTTTTTGAAATCTCTTTTCAAATCAGAATCGAAATGGAAAAGTAAACTCTTTATTTTTCTTTATTTGCAAAACCTTGAAAATGTATGTCTTTTGTCATTTCTTTTTATGCAGCGTGATAGCCTGTTTAATGTTTCCTAATGTGCGTGACATTCACCCTTCCCCCGTTGAATTAATTTAGATACACGCTATAATAGCTCTGCGTCACTCACAGCTTTATATTCTATTGGGGTCAAACTAGTATTAGGGGGGGGAGGGTTATTGGGAAATGGGGAAAGACAGAGGAATTGACCCCCCCCCTCAAAAAATAAAAATATTTGTATAACTATTATATTTGAGTTATTTGGAGCATGGGCGCAAGTTTAGAGCATATCACTGTTTTAGTGAATAGGCCCTATTGTGGCTTCATATATGCCAATAAATGGCCAGTAATTCCTTCGAGGATCTGGTTCATGATGACATAATAGCGTCACGCTGTTGCTTGGCTGTTGCCTGTTTGGCTGATGTTCATCCATGCATCAAATCTCATGTCACCGCATCCCAAACGTTTATTAGACTGTTACACAGCCTTCAATGACCAGCTGAATGCCATGGATTGTCTTTCCGTAGGCCACAAATAGAGTTCAGGCTGGAGCTTTGGTGCTTCCTCTGTTCTAGAATAAGGACTCAGAGACCCGAGGGAGACATCCTCTGTAAAAGATGTGTTTACAAGGCTGAGTGTGAAATAAAGGACACAGTAAGGAAGGTTGACACCTCTCCACAGGAGGCAAACATTGACAGCTGATAACAGAGCCTGTACTGTATCTCTCTGTGCAGGCCTGGCTGTGTCCAAACCAGCAATGCTCATCAAAACGCCCAGTTTACACAAAAAACAAAAAATAATGCCCAGTTTACGCACAAAACAAACAACGCCAACTATTATTTTGGATTCATACATTAAGAAATATACCATCAGGTTTTAGCAGGATAACCCGGGTCCTATATAGTGACCATTGAATGGGAATCGAAAAGAAGGATCTATTAGATGTCATACGTGTATAGATTTGGCAGAATTACCCTGGTTTCCTACAATAAAGCTGTTACTAGAATCCCAGACTGGCAGGTTTATAAACACCTGGAATCCACAGTATGAACAAAGGGTTTAGGACAATTTTATCACCACCGCACCAGCCTGAAAAGACCTTCGCGTGCTAATGTTAAGACACAAATGATTGTATTTGTCTAATTGATAGCAGACTTTCTCGACGTCCAAAAAAGAAAAATGACTTCTGAAGCTGTAAATAACATTGAGCTTGATGGAGTCTTAAATAGTCAATTTAGGCTGAGAGCATTAGGCTAATGAGCCAACCATCACCTTCAGATCAGGGACAATATGTGTTGATAAATGTAAATTCCATATTATCAAGGAAGCTGATGTAGGATCCGTCTTTGGAAAAACCCTGGTTTTAATATGTCCTTATAGCTACCTTGTTATGATCAATGGGCTTTAAGAGGGACAAACTCATGTGCACTCGCTGCACAATTACTACCAGTGTTGATGGTATTGTGATAAAGCAGAAAAAAACATGTCATGTATGGCTGTTACCCACCAGGATACTTTGATCTCTTTAAATAGGCTTATTCTGGATTCAGGCCAGCTGGACACTGGTTTATCCAATGGTCATGGGAGAACTGACTCTTGATCCACCGGTGTACACAGATAGCTAGCAACCTAATGACAACCTCTGGCCGGATTAACATAGGGGCTGATGGAGCTGCAGCTCCAGGGACATGCCCATGCAATAGGCCCAGTGCTAAAAAACTGCTCTTCACATGTTCTTGCTTAAGTATGGCAACTTAAGAGGGATATAGGGGAACAAACCTGGTGTTGACTGGCTGGCAATGACATTAGTTAAGGAAAAGCAGATTTTGCACACTATGTAAATGCTCTTGCTGCGTCAATCTCTCTAACACTGTGGCATGTTCCCTTTCTTCTACACTCACTGCATACACTTTTGCTCTGTCCCAGACTGTATAACAGGAGCCTGCTAGCAAGAAGGTAAGGAGAGGAGTGGACCAGCAAGTGCTAGGGGACAGTCCTTAGAAATCATAGAGATAGCACATCATTAGACGTATTTATTCCAAGCTCAGGGCACTGTCTGTATAATGCGCCCATAGTTGACCGACCTGCATGATTGGCAGGCAGCCTGAAATGCATTACCATTCACATACAGCCCTCATCATCCTTCCGGTTCCAGCATATATCCCTCAGTGGGGATTGTTCCACCTCAAGTTCTTCAGACCAGAGCAGGACATTGCTCTGCGTGACGTAAATTGGATAATTTCCTCCATTAATACCAATTGTTTGTATATACTATACCATTAGATTTCCTAGTTTGTCTTTTTTCACATATACCTACTCCATCCTGAAAACAAGCTCCAAAGACCGTCCATTTATATCCATAGACAGGGATTATTCCATCCAGGCCTTCATAATAGAGCTGAGACAGCTCTAAAAAGTGTGAGCATGCAATTTTGCCCATTTGTACTCCCTTCACAAACATCTACTGTACTGCACCATAATCTGTTTCTTGCTTTGTACTGATAGATTCATATACTAAGAATATAATCTGTATCGTACGTATATATAATCTTAAGTGCTGATCACCTCCTGTATGTTATCTTTACTATCCACTTCACAAAGGTGGAGAGAACCCATTGCTGGTAATTTGCTGCTAATGATAGATTTTGTGCCCTTATACTCACCAGTTTTTCAATATCTTGAAATGCATTCATGCCAGGCTGGCCTTCCTGGCTTTTCGGGCAGACATGCTACCTTTTCTGGGCATGTTTGCCCCTTTGGGCTGTGCCAGTTATGTGATTCGCGTCAGTGGCCCATCCTTTTATCCCACCCATCGACGTCCTGCTTCACTGGACACTGCTGTTAGGGGGTATGGATTTCCTTGAACGATGAAAGTGAGAGATTAGATTAAGGTATGTGTTTTCTGATTGCTATATCCTATGAGTTTCCCTCCAGCACCACCTCCACCAGATACATGACGCTTGGGAGGTATAACTGGTTTATTGTTTTCTGTCGATATGTTTCTGTAATTAGGCCCATCATAATTGTCAGCACCAAGTCCAATGGGCTCTTAATCTGGCCCTGCATGCTCCTCTTCCCTCCCCCCCCCCCAATCACAATTTTTTATTGTGCAATTAAAAAAGTATCTATTTTTATCTTTGTAACTTATTTGCTCCTTTGCCCCCCCTACAACTGCTCAAATATTTAGGAATTATCTGTGTATGCAGCCCTAGTTACAATTATTAATAATGCTATAATATGCTAAATTTTAACCTGTCTTAAAGTGACAGGTTGTGCTCCTTTAAGGAGTCACCAAAACAACTTTAGTTTAATGAAGCAGTTTGGGTGTATAGATCATGCCCCTACAGTCTCACTGCTCAATTCTTTGATATTTAGGAATGAAATCACATTTGTTTCTGTGTATGCAGCCCTAGTTACACCTCCCCTGGCTGTGGCTGACGAAACACTTCATGTAAAGAGTCATCTTAAATAGTTACATAGTTACATAGTTACATAGCTGAAAAGAGACTTGTGTCCATCGAGTTCAGCCTTCCTCACATATGGTTTTGCTGTTGATCCAAAAAAAGGCAAAAAACCTGGTCTGAAGCACTTCCAATTTTGCCACAAACTAGGAAAAAAAATTCCTTCTTGACCCCAAAATAGCAGTCAGATGTCTCTTTGGATTGAGCAGCCATTACCCCACTAATTAGAAATTATATCCCTGTACGTTATGTTTTTGGAAGGATTTATCCAATTACTGTTTAAACATGTTTACACTTTTTTATTGCCTATTCTGTTTAATTTAGAATTTTGTATCTTCTGCTTTGGTAAAAGCCTTCTAAGCCCTGCAGGAGAGGCATGTTTGTGTGTGATTAACGTTCAGGTAAAAGAACAGGAGATTAAAAACCTCTAAAGTGAACACTCTCTGCTGATTGAAAATGAAATCATTTTGTTTTAATGCAGGCTGTGTCTGTCTCCTGCAAAAAGAAACAAAACTGTATTAACTAGTGCCTTGCAATATGTATTTTACCTTATTAAAGCAGCTCTGACTCAGTCTAGGATTTCCGGATCCAAAATGTGCAGCACTAACATATTCCACAGCGCTGTACAAACATGAAAATACAAACTTACAATATATACAGTATATAAACTGCCCAAGCACTTCATTACTTAAAGGATATCAATTCCTGAAGACCACAAGGAACTGTTTTGATATGTTAATTTCTCTCTGGCAGCATAAGAATGCTATCTACTACAGGGCAGAACTTTTCATGTGCAGTCCTTCCACATGTAGTAGTTATATGTGATCAAAAAAGCATAGAGCAACCTTTGGCACTCCAGATGGTTTGGGCTACATCCCCCATAATGCTCTGACACCTATAGTGCTGGCAAAGCATCATGGGAGGTGTAGTCCAAAACATCTGGAGTGCCGAAGGTTGCCTATGTCTGTCATAGAGGATGTGGAAACCCAAGCTCCAGCACCCCTCTCTCTCTGCTCTTTGCAGGTTAGTAATTAATGTGGAGAATTAATACTGAATTATTGAAGTTTACCAACAAGACTTTGTATCCGTTTTATTAATCTTGGTAACTTGCATTTAATTCCAGCTGATAAAATGACTGGGAAACTCATTTTCTAAAAATGTAACTTCTCCTCAGCAACATTCAGTGATTTTAGTTTTTGATCCCCAGAGTCTGTTCTGCCTTCCCCGAGCTTTCCTTGATTGCCTCTTCTATAAACAGGAAGAAAAATGTGATGGGAACCAGCGTTTACCCGGAGACACATAGGGGACCTAACCACTCCAGCACAATAAGCTCAGTGTTCTCTGGTCAAAGAGGGAGAGTTACCTTATTCCTGTCCCTTTAAATACCATTGCCACGTCACCAGTAAACATTTTAAAACACTGTGTGAGATGTTTTTTGGTCCCCTGGACTAGAGGTGACGTGTCAGGACTAGGCTAACTAGGATTAAACCTGAGACTTTTTCAATATTCAATATAGCGTCTGACTGCCCTGGTGAGGCCTTCTGGCAGTGCCCCCCTCCCACTCGGCACTGAAGGGGTTATAACTCCTTCAGTCACTTACCTGAATCCAGCGCCAATGTCCCTCAGTGCTGGGCCAGGCTCCTCCTCCGCGCTTGCATTTGACTTCCAATAGGAAAGCATTGTATTGACACACACACATTGCCCAACAGACACAAACTGGCAGATACGCACTGACAGTCACACACACACACACTCAATGACAAACACACAGACGTCACTGACAGACACAGACTCACTGATCTGACACACACTTATTCATTGACAGACACACACATGCACAGACACACACACTGACAGACACACAAACACTGACAGACACTCATTGAAAGACACACACTGATAGTCACAGACAGACTCGATGACAAACAGACTCACTGATTTGACAGACACTCGCAAACACACACACACACTGACAGACACACACACTCATACACTCACATGCACACACACACACACACACACACAGACAGACACACACAGTCACACAGACAGACAAACTCATTCACTCACATGCACACACATTCACAGACACACTCATACACACACATACACTCACAGACACACACACACTAATTATTAATATTATTATAATACTTTAAAGATTTTCACCCAGCCTTCCTACCTGTTGTCGGGGGTCCAGTGGGGCTGCTGTAAGAGCTGTGCGTGGGGCTATGTTAGAATCAAAGTGGCGAGGGAGCGGTGATCTCCCTGCTCTACTGCCTCGCCACTAGCGGGCCGTCTACTGATGCCAGGAGCCAGAATATGATGTCATCAGGCATCAGCAAACGGTGCACGAGGGAGCAGAGCAGGGAGATCACAGCTCCCTCGCCGCCTCTGATTCCAATACATCCTCCTTATGGACCTGCCCCCATGATAGGGGGAAACACCGGGGACACGCGAGTGGGTGCTTGCCGCCCCCGGTTAGTGCTGGCCAAGGCAAATGCCTAGTTTGCCTTGCGCTAAATACAGCCAGGACCGTCTTTAATATCAATTGGACCCTGGGCAAGCATTTGCTTGGGCCCCCTATACCTGCCCTTCCCCACTCCCCCGTGCTCCCCCATTCTCAACCCCCAGCTCCCTGGCATGCAATCAGGGCCTCCACCCCAACCTACTGATAGAACTAATGTAGAGAGGGCTGTGGTGCAAGAATTGTTTTCTCTCCAATAGCGCAAGAGTGGAGAAAAGTTAGATATCCATCTGTCGTACAACTTCCACGATGGGGATCCACCGTTTGGCCATTCTTGTAGGGTTGTATTTGTGAGCAGTGTTTGTGAATTTGAATGTAAGCATGTTTTTATATAGAGTGTATGTGTGCATATAGGGGTGTATTTGTATATACTGTTACTATTGGAATGCAGCTGTGTACTTTTGTGTAGTGTTTGTGTTTGAATGCAGGAGTGTGTGTTTGTATGTAGTGTTGGCTTTTAAATTAAGTTGTGCTTTTGTGTATTGAGCTGGCGTTTGTATATAATTTTAGTGTTTTATGCATGCAGGGGTGTGTGTGGATGTAGGATTGTCTTTTAAATGCAGATGTACATTTGTGTGTAGTTTAGTGAGTGAAGGGTGTGTTTGTATACAATTTTGGAGTTTGTATTAGGGGTGTGTTTGTATGTAATGATTGTGTTTGCTGTGGTGTGTTTGATTGCCTGGATATATGCACATACATACACAGACACATATAGCCAGATACACACACTGACACACACAGCCAGATACACAGACTGACACAAACACAGACAGATACACACACAGCTAGATACACAGCCAGATATACACACAGCTAGGTACACTCACAGCCAGGTACAAACACTCACAGTCAGGTACACACACACACATACAGCCAGATACACATGCACATACAGCCAGATACACACACTGACATACACACAGCCAGATACACACATTGACATACACACAGCCAGATATACACACACAGTCAGATATACACACACACACAGTCAGATATACACACACACATAGCCAGATAAACACACACACATATAGCCAGATAAACACACACATATGCCCAGATGCACTCACTCAGACCCAGGTACACACACATATATCAAGTTACATCATGTTTTAGCCACCCTCTTGTCTCCTTACCTTTTGGGTACAGAAGGGTGGCTTCCCTGGGGTCCAGTGGGAGCTGGATGGCCAAGACTGATGGGAGTCTGACTTCCTCAGTCCCTTTTCTCCTCCTGTGTATACCTCCTCCCCAGCGGCACTCTGTTACTTGGGAGAAAGTGATCTCACCTCACTTCCTCCCAGCAGGCAACATCAAAGGGGCCAAGGCCGAGCATTCTTAAAGGGCTGAGGGCCCTTAATTACATCAGGTGCTGCAGTCCACAGGATTTGGACCCCAGCAGGGGGCCCACAGAGCAGCTACTTTGGGCCTGGGGCAGCTGCCCCTTTTGCCCCCCTTTAAAGACGGCCTTGGATACATCACTGGGGATAGGCACCCTTTGGCACTCCAGATGTTGTGGACTACATCTCCCATAATGCTCTTAACTGGCAAAGTGTCAGGGGAGCTGTAGTTCACAATATCTGCAGTGCCGAAGGGTGCCAACCCGTGACATAGATACTGATTCCAAACTACAATATCTTCCCAACCACAACTCGTAACCAACATCTGACGAGTTTAGTTTTATGTAGTAAAATATATTTTTTTATTTACTAATAGCTGCCCAGTGCTCGGCCCATACTGTGCGCAGAGACTGGGCTTCACGTAGTGTGCGCAAACTCACAGCCAGATATATAACATCGCAATCAGGAAGGAGAGTTCACAGGCCATGTGGACCAGTAATGCGTTTTACACACTGAGTACACAGCTACTATGACAGCAATGGAAACATAGCTTCTCTCATTAATATCATCACATTATGCAGCTCCAGCCTAAACCCATCTCGGATAAAAAGTTATGTTGAAGGCACAGAAATAACAAATATCATTATTACCTAAACAATATGTTGATACATAGATGAAACACACAAGAATAGAAATCTCACTCACTCATTCAATGTGAAGGCAGCGTACCGTTATAAACCACATGTAAATGACATGATTCTTAGGGGGCTGTCATGATAGCAGCATATCTAGCAATTCAGAAATTAGATTTTCAAAGTAGACTGGATTTGTTTTTTTGTACATATATTATAACTAATTTTAAATGGAATGAGGCAAAAATGTGATTCAATTTGCATATACCCACCCAGAATCCTTTGCGGTAGTAACATCACTGCATATTTGTGATTTCTGTGGGAAAAGCAAGTCTTATGGCTTGACTGGTGTGCAGATTTTGGTTTAACATTGTATTAAATATCTTTATTATATACATATAAAAAGTTTTATAATTGTAATAATATTGCAGCAATACACCAACCAATATACCAACTAAACATGTATAATATGTAATAATCTAGAAGCCTCTATTAACTATTGGGGACACTGAGACACCAGGGACACTGAGAGACATGGGGACACAGAGACACCAGAGACACTGAGAGACATGGGGACACTGAGAGACATGGGGACACTGAGACACCCTGGACACTGAGAGACATGGGGAAACGGAGACACCAGGGACACTGAGAGACTTGGGGACACTGAGACACCCTGGACACTGAGACACCCTGGACACTTAGAGACATGGGGAAACGGAGACACCAGGGACACTGAGAGACTTGGGGACACTGAGACACCCTGGACACTGAGAGACATGGGGAAACGGAGACACCAGGGACACTGAGAGACTTGGGGACACGGAGACACCAGGGACACTGGCTTGGAGACAAGAGGACACTGAGACACTTGGGGACATTGTGTCCCTAGTGTCTCAGTGTCCCCATGTCTCCAAGTGTCCCTAAGTGTCTCAGCGTCCCCAGAGGTCTCCCTGTGTCCCCATGTCTCAGTGTCCCCAAGTCACCCAGTGTCCCCATGTCTCAGTGTCCTCATGTTTCCTTGCAGCCTTTACCCCATCCCCCCTTCCCTGAGCTGTAGTCTGTCTCTACAGGCTGGTAGATACTGTCTGGTCTCTCTGTCCTGTGTAGATGCTCCCCGCGGATCAGTGAGTAGAGAGATGCAGGGATATACTGTAACTTCCTATCCCTGCCTCTCTCCACACACAAGGCGACCCCTACTGGACGGTAATGGTATTGCAGAGTAATCTCTGTTTATAATGAGAAAATTACGGCATTTGTATTGCCGGTATTATTGCGATATATGCACCAGCCAGGCAGCCTCAAATAAATACCTGCCAGATAGCAACCCTAAGAGTAGTGTGTAAAAAAAATTTACATTTTTTTTTTTTTTTTAAATCAATGGGCCTATGCCATGGGCCTGGACCTGGAGCTGCAGCTCCATCAGCCCCTATGTTAATCCGGCCCTGAACACCATGCCCAATCAATATACCAATATCTTCACCGCCTTAACTACATCCCTTCCTAACACCATGCCAAATCAATATCCCAATCTCTTCACCCCTCTTGCCCACAGCCCTCCCTAGCTCTAGCCAAATTTATATATCAACCACTTCACTTCCCTTAACCATGTCCCTCCCTAGCACAATTTTCAATTTATATAACAATCTCTTCC